AATGATTGGTGTGAGACAGAACTTCTTTGAACATATGGAACCATTTTCTATCAATTATGGTTTTTTATCAAAAGTATTGGTGTGAGACAGAACTGTTTTAGGCGTTTTGAACTATTCCAAAACCCACCATGGTTTTTTAAATTGTCTGAAACCTTTTCATGGTTTCTTGTTGAAAGAACGAAACCTTAAAAGGTTCTGAATGCTCGCTAAAACCTTTAATAGTTCCCTATGGTGCCTTTTTTTTTTACAGAGTATAAATGATTATTTCTACCCATCTGTTTAATATCGTGGATACGAAACACGCTATGCATCGAAAACAAGACTTCCTCTTCTCCTTGGAACTTGCTAATTCCAGCAATTGAAGCGAATGGTGTTGTTGATTGAAATGGATCTATTTTCATAACAAGAAGTATTCCTACTAAATCTGGATTGGCCTGATTACTTTCAGCAAAAGCATGGGAAAGTTCACGATCTTTACTAGTAGACAAGAAATTATTGAATGAAATAAGACCACCTTTGGTTTTGATCATTTGTTCAAAATCTCCTGTAGATAAACCTCGACCACGATAAACGATGAAGGTGTTAGCAGCAGTTGTACCTGCATATTGTTCCTGATACAGTTGTTCAATGTGTCTATGCAAATCACTAATGAAGAAGCCCATCCGTGTGATGATATCACCATCCATCAATCACAGTGCACGATTGAGCATGGGATACAGGAACATATCACGGGTGTACCAATAGATGGGTGTTTCGCTATGATATTGATCTTCTAATCGTTTAATATTTTCTATTTGTTTTTTGTTATCTGGAAAAACATCGCAACAGTAATTAATATAATCTCGTATATATTTTTGTTCGAAGTTGATAGTCAATAATGTTTCTTCAAGTATTTGAGTGTACACGAAAGAAGGATCTAATTGATCCAACTTTTTATTTGTTCCCACGAAACTCATGGGAATAGCATTTTGCTCACATTGATGAGCAGCTCCCTTGAGTGCTTCACAAATTGGTATCATCTCTGTGAAGGTACCCTTTATTTTGGGCCAATTTTTGACCCACTGTTCATGATGTTTTCTGTTGCCACAAAAGATAAAAATCGAATCAACTTGAGACATACTGTGTACACGAGGTACAGTTTGTTGTCCAAGTGATTCAGATATGATTATACAAGCCTTTTTGTCGACGACTGTTTCAATGAACTCAAAGCATTGATTAGCATCCGTAAATGTGTTGATATCATTCACAGCACATCGCAGTTTTGTAATTGTATTTTGACAATCATGACTTGTTTCGTCAATGTTACTGTCTAACCAGATTAGAAGAACATTTTGCATATGTTGAATATTGATACGTCGACGACCTTCTGCACCTTTTGAAACTGTAGATGCATCCGTTGTTGATTTTCCTTTGTTCATTGTTTGCTTCGGGAATGATTTGAATGAAAGCCACTGTGTACAATTTACTAGTGAAGTAATGATCGAAAACGAGTTTTTTTTATAAGTGTCTACTTCCTTGCGAAGCGTTGTTTTTTTCTTTAACTGTTTTTTGATGTTGCTATGAAAAACAAACATCGAGATAGACCACGAAAAAGAATGATT